TGACCACTGTTGGCTCTTTTGAAAAAGGGTCATTTGCACACATTCTGGAGAAAAATATGACCACTGTTGGCTCTTTTGAAAAAGGGTCATAAGCATTCATATTTACATGCATACCACTCAAATCCTTATCAACAAATCAAAAATATCATAATGATTATCTTTTTAAAAATGAAATATACATTTTCATGCATAGGTTTTTGACACCAAGGTATCAGGAATGCAAATATCAACCTTTGGGTGTTAGATATGTGAATACATAAGAAATGTGTGGTATGTATGTAAATTTTCCTTTAAAAAAATATCTAAGTACTAAAACACTATCACACGACTCATCTATAAATACATCTAAAAAAATTTAAGAACTAATGCACCATCAACAATAAATACTATCTCTATTGGTTCTTTTGAAAAAAAGATATAAAAACCAATACAACCCAAGGTAATCTAAGGTGGTAGAGTCTTAGAAACATATTATTTCCTCTATTTTTTTCCTCATCTTTTCCAACCTGGCTCCTCCGGGACTGCTTGTCATGCACATATTGTTGGATTTTCCCGACGTAACCCAAAGTTGGCTCATCCCGTTTTGATGTGATGGTAGTCTGAATCTTTTCGAATAGTGGTGGCCATACAGTAGGTATCGATCATGATATCCTGAAGTTTTCTGTCATGACTGTCCCGTGCCTGGAATCGGCATCTCATTCTTATCATCCTTTATCGTCATAAAAAATGATCTCACCGATGCTGCTTTGATGGCATGAGCATTGTGATCTTGGGCCCCACCCAAGGAAAAAGTACAACGTGCTTCCCCTTCTTGGTGGAGTAGGTGTTTATGTACTGATGATCTGAATCCTACAGTCAAATTGCCACGGTTTCTCAAACAACAGGTGGTAGGCATCCCACCACATCGGATCCTGCAGCTGGCTTGTAACCACGAACTCCGCTAGGCAGCCCCTGTTAATTCTAAACCCGTTCTCTTCCTTCAGCCATGTCAGAGAATACAACTGGGAATGCCTCTAAGTCACGAGGCTCATTTTCTTCATCATCTGATTAGACACTACGTTCTTGCTCTTTCATTCATTGATGATGAGACTATATATCTTCTCATTTGCAGGTGTAGAATATGTTGTTGTGAAACCATTACAGATCTCTCGAAGGTGATACACCTGTTGCACTGCGAATGAGAACTGCGCCATCGGTGATGGTAGTTTGAATAATTCTATCCCTGTTTCTTAGCCGCCTCCTCGTCGCTAACTTCCTCCATGGTGCCTTGCTCGGTATAAGGCACGTCTTGGCTTGTCGGGTAACCAAATGCAATGTGCCCAAATCCATGACATCAAAGGCATGTTCGACCAGTAATTGTAGTATGCGTGCTCCTGCTGGTGTCTCCAATTGTGGTGGCTTCCGAACAGGTGGTGATTGCTTGCTGCGTTTTTGCTATCTCTTCACCTTCAGAACTAAGGTCTGGACATTTCCGAGTGACCAATAAAGATGCAACTGCAAAACATTGTTGATAGTGGGCTTTAGGCTCCCCCAAATAACGGGCTATGGTGTGTTCTATTGGTTTGACCAACTCACACTTTATTTGCAACTGGTTGAACTGCGCTTGAACTCCTCCACTGATAAGTCTCTTTGCTACGTGTGGTAGAGCCTCAGAAATATATTATGGAGGTATTAAGGTGGTAGATACTTTCTCTGCATATTTTTTCTCATCTTTTCTAACTTGGTAATCTTATCACTGTCTTCTCTCTTTGTCTACCTCTGCAATTTTTCCCACCACAAGAAGTTTGCTAGTTGTACTCGTTTTTCCTCAGACACTTTCTCATACTCAAAGATTCACTCAACATACTGCAACCAATTGTTAAAGTAGTCTAGATTCATAACTCCATTGAATTATGATAGATCCACTTTGATTTTGAAATCTTTATGTCCTCCCTATGTGGCTTCCTCTTTCGGCCTTCTCTGATACTGAATTTCAAAGCGTCGATTCCTGTCTTTCTTGTCGCGGAAGTCATCCCTATGGAAGGGATTCAGATCCTTGTCTATTTCCCCCATTCTAGTCTTCATGTTGTGATCGAGGGTAATTTCCCCTTGGTTCCATTGTCAATCTCTGCAAGCCTCCGCTGAAGACAACTGAGCTCTCGCTGTATGTCTTCTCGGGTAGCCTCGAGCTTGTATCTCCTTGGTGACATGGTTAGTGTTTAGGATTTATTGGAGTAGAAAGGGTAATTGATGATGGGAAAGAAAAATTTTGTTGAAGATGGCTTGGGTATGACAATTGCTAGGAAATCATGTTGCTAGGAAATCATGTCTTCTCGGGTAGACTTGAGCTTGTATCTCCTTGGTGACATGGTTAGTGTTTAGGATTTATTGGAGTAGAAAGGGTAATTGGTGATGAGAAAGAAAAATTTTGGTGAAGTTGGCTTGGGTATGACAGTTGCTAGGAAATCATGTCTTCCCGGGTAGACTTGAGCTTGTATCTCCTTGGTGACATGGTTAGTGTTTAGGATTTATTGGAGTAGAAAGGGTAATTGGTGATGAGAAAGAAAAATTTTGGTGAAGTTGGCTTGGGTATGACAGTTGCTAGGAAATTTTAGGATAGGACTATGTCTGATACCAATTGATGTCAGAGTTAACCCAAATCTCAATGAAAGGAAATTATTATGGTTGAAATTCAAACGGTTACAACAAAGACTATTCAAAACAAGAAATAAACAACAAACAAGAACAAACAATCCCTTAGAGTGAGGATGAGTGCGTTAACCCAAATCTCAATGAAAGGAAATTATTATGGCTGAATTCAAACGGTTACAACAAAGGCTATTCAAAACAAGAAATAAACAACAAACAAAAACAAACAATCCCTTAGAGTGAGGATGAGTGCGGTGAACACCGGCTGGACAACAACATACTTGTATTTCAAGGAGGTTGTTTGTCTTCATGGGATATCTAGGAGCATCTCTTTTGACCAAGATGTGAAATTTCTTAGTCACTTTTGGAGGATTTTATGGGATAAGTTAAGTACAAAACTCCAGTTCTTTTCAGCAACTCTCCCTTAGATAGATGGGCGGATAGAGGTTGTAAATTGCAGTTTGGGAAATCTTCTTAGATGCTTTGTGGGGAAGAGCTTTAAGATGTGGAACTTAACTCTTTCTTAGTTGGAGTTTGCCTATAATTTTGTACTAGTCAGCCCACAAGTCACAGCTCCTTTGAGATTGAGTACAGGCAGAACCCGCTTACACCATTGTTGCTAGTTGCGCTACTATCAACCATTGAGTTTAGCACTGATACCGAGGTTCAAGTCTTGAGATTTAGATCCTACATAAACATGTTAGAAAGGAAATTGACGAACAAAACACTAAATATCAAAAGTAGGCAAACAAGTCCAGGAAGACCACTTGGTATGGATCAGACTGAAAAATGAGTCATTTCTTGCTACTTAATTTAGAAAGGTCAAGTCTAGAGATCTTAGTCTATTCAAAATTGCTGAGAAGATTAGTGATTATGCTTACAAGATTGACCTACTGAAGGATTATTGTACTTGTTACCAAATTTTGAGGGCCTAGATGTCTCTGGAGGCAAGGGCAAAGACCCTCCTACCCGAAGAGAGTGATGCATAACACAATTTCCCGCGATATCTCGATATGTGATAATGACTCCTGCAATCGTGGGGTGCCCAACCAATCGAACTGATCGCCCTTTTTTATTCAATTTTATTTCATGTCCTTTATTTTCAGTAACTTTTTTTTTTCCTTTCTTATCCTTTCCTATTTCTTTAGTTTCTAATTATGTTATTCTCTCTTAGGGGACCTTAATATAGCTGTAGTCTGGTTTTGTAGTTTTCAGCTTAGGTTTAAGGTATTTTGGGAGTTATTTTCTGGTTTTCTTCTCTCCGGAATGTTGTAACTTCTTTATTTCACAAGTACCGTGTCTGTAGCGTGCCTAGGAACATGCGGTGGATTACCCTTGACGTCCGTACCTCACATAGTGGTCGTTTGAATGCTGTTTACAGCTGGGACAGCTGCCTAGCGCCTCCAATCTGCCCCCCAACAGCTGGTCTCACCCCTTTCTCCCTCCACATGCTGCCTATTCACTGTTTCCTGCTCGACAGCTTTCTAGGGCGTGGTCTCCTGCTGTTGAAATCAGGAATCTGCACTTTTCTGCTCCAGATTCGCTGTCCTAACCATCAGTCGTGCTGATTATCAGCTTCCCCCCATCCTCCCACGTCCGGTATCATTCCTGCAACCTCTCCCAACACCTTTTGTGCTTTATCAAACCGTCTAAGAGTTCTAGAACGGTGTCAACTTTGCTTTTAACAAAATAGTAGGAAGCATCTCTAGAAGGAAGCTTCTTATACAGGGCATGGATTGTCTGTTTGCTTAGTTTCTATGAGGTTTTGTACTGGTCTGAATAGGAATTAATGTTGTTGCTTTTCTGATGAGTAGAGGAAGTTGAAGTTTTAAGCAATGGAAAGAATGCCCCTTTATTCACAATGATCAGAGAGAAATTCATGTGCGTAATATTAATAATAAATTATAAGATAGTAACTTTTATCTATGACAAATTCTCTAAATTTTTCTGATTATTTTGTTAAATTAACTTCATAAAAATTTCTTTAGTTTATGAAGTAATGCTATGTGAAACCATTGAAGCTGCAAGTAGACTTTTATCATAGTGGATAATCCATGTAGTGTATTCACATTTGATTGGTAAATATTGCTTCTAATGTAATAACCATATTTAGGCAAATATTTGTCAGGTACCATGCGCTGCCATAATTTTATCATAATCTTGAATGAGATATTTTGTTAGTTAAAAATAAGTTTTTCATTATTTTGTAATATATTCCACACACACACACACACACACACACACACATTGTCTATATATGTTATGAATGTATCTAGTTCGTGTTCAACCCAACAATAACATTTGAAGTTATGCTTTTATTGTTTATACTTTTGATGAATTTTGCTTTTTAATATTCATTTTTTGTCACTCAGGCATCCGCTATGAGAAGTTCCCATAGTTTTCACAGTCCTGGTCATATGTACCATGAGCGAGTGGATGAACGAAGAAGTAATGATGGTAGAGGATGTCGCCAAGAAAGAGCGGACAACAGGAGATCTACAAGCGAGAAGTATGCATTTGATAGTGAAAAGAAACGTAGACGACATGGACATCCTCCAAGCACGCCAGGTCTTCAAATTGAACCTACATTTAATGCACAAAGTGATTAATTTGAATAATTTAGGTCTGAGTTTTGTTTTTGTGCGTGCTCTCAACAAGTCATGTCTATACTCGATTTTGCAGGTGGATTTGCTTGGGATTATGAAAGACATGAATGGGAGAATACACCTACTAGAGAAAATAGAGATAGGTATTCCGTCTCTCATCGGTCACGTTATGCATCACGATTTCCAATGCTAGCTGGTGCTTCGCCGGATGCACATTTGGTTTCCCCTTACTTGGGTGGTCAAACACCTCGGTTTGCAGGTATGGAATGTTGGAGTTAACAATCATTAATCTCTTCAGAAAACTTGGTTTCTATGTTTAGCTGCCCGCTCTCTATGCTTTCTAATTAAGACATTGATTAAGGCGTGACCTCACCATGGGATTCTGTTGCACCTTCACCAGAGCCCATACGGACCAATGGCAGGCCCTCTAGAAGATCTTCAGGCTCTTGCGAAGTTGAAAGGTCACATCAGCTCACCTTTTCAGTTGCATCAAATTCAGAGGTAGCTTTCAAATGTTTAAGTTTGCATCCTAATTCAATTTGTATTTATGAACCTGTGTCACACCATCCTTCTTTTTTCTCTTTATATTATGTATGTCATCATTTGTAGCTGTGTTACTCCGAGAGATCAACATCATCCATTTTGTTTGCTTGTAGGCTTTCAAACTGTTTAAGGTTGCCATATCGTTTCTCTTCCTTGTACGAGTTAATGCATGTAGAAAGTGTTTGCATTGATGAAAGCAATTCTTATTATGTGATGCCTTGGATAATAAATTGATGATTAAATAGTATTGTAGTTAATTTTAATAATTCATATGGCCTGCTTTATATTCTTTGGTGAAGTTTGGTTGCGGAAGTGGACAACTCATGCCACGTGTCTAAACTGTAGAATGATTCTATGAACTTCATGACACTAGAATTTCCATTCCATTTGTTTGTTGGGCCATTTACATACATAGCACACAATTCTTGTTTATTTACATATCGTACACCTAAACTTTCATATTTACACTCATAGCACATAAATCTTTAATATTGCCTGAAAATAGCACTATTACCAATTTTAAAAGTCACATGCACATTTTCATGCATAAGTTTAAAGCACCAAAGTGCTATGCAAATATGGAAGTTTCGGTGTGAGATATATAAATGCATACGAATTCTGTGCCAGGCCTTAATTTCAGTCCCTATATTCTTATACTTACTAATGCTTGGGCCTGCTTGTTTGCAAATGAGGAAAAGGAAAAGCGGAAGTTAAAGAACTTGAGATCATTTCACTTGTTTGGTTCATATAGGCGAGTTTACGGTGATGCGTGCTTTAGGACTTTAGGATGATGTTTAAGGGAATTTTACATTGATTTATACTTTGGATGATGTAATGCTTTAAAGTTGCTTGTAAGATGCGTTCGAAAGCTCACATGCGCAGACTTGCGCTTGCAACACCATCACATGTGATACACACATATATGTGTTGATGGAAGTTGAAGAAGTTTTTTGGTCTGACATTTGTGTCTTTATGCATTTATCCTGGCATCAACAAGTTTAGTGTTTTTTTCATCCATGAGGAAAATTATTTATGAATATAATTTTAACAGATTTTATAATCATTTGTCATCAACAATTTTTTGAAAAGGAAAATAATGAGATGATATGTAAACATTGAGATACAAGGTTTACTTTTACGTATTAAATTAATCAAAATTGTCATGAATAACTCGCATAAGTTTCATATTTTTAAGAAGATTTTATATGATTTTTTTTGAAGCAAAATATATTAAGTAAATAAAGAGATGAGTACAAAAAGGGCATCTAACAAGAAATGATAAGAGTAAAAAGTGAAATACAATATGATAATGATACAAAAATAAGTCATTTGGATCGCCAATTTTGAAGCCTCGTGAGTATTGGAGAGACGATAAATTTTTTTCTGTATCTTAACCTGTAAAGCAAAAAGAACATGAAAACTTTTATCCACCAGGTCATTAGAACTTTGAATGCTCCAATCATAATAAGAAGACTATTGTAGTAAGTGATTGTCATTATTTTCACAAATTGAATTAATTTATGGCTTCACAAGAACTTGCAGAGTATTCTTAATGGTAATTTCAACTATTTATGAAGAGATTAACGCTAATGGGCTTGCGGGAGCAGGAATATTAGTCATATTCAACTCAATAGAAAATGATCTTGGCCATAGATTGTAAGAACACATTTAAGTAGATGAGTGGAGGTCTTAAACCAGTTAAGCGGGGGGATCAATCCGAGCATTAGATAGAGTGTCTATAACTGAAATTTTGGAAGCCTCAGCTCAGGATGGGTGTTGAAAAAACTTTATGCCAAAAAATATGACATGAAGAGTTGTTTGAAGGAATATTTTCAATTTTTATGTTTTGCCAATATTCTAATGATAGAAATCCAATCCTTGAAAGTGTGCAAGTTGCTGATTTGATCCCGAATAGATTTCTCACATAAATCATGACAAATACATATTTTATTTAATGAACATTAATTCAAAGCATTACAACAAATGTAAACACCTATAATTTGAGAGGTGACAATCTCTCCTAAATCTTATAATTAGAGAGGTAGGAAATCTCTCCCTAATGTTGAAGACACAATTATAACCCTAACCCTAACCCTAAATATATTAGCCTTATTTATACCAAACTATAATAAATAATAAAATATTAAATTGCCCTTAGGCTAATAAAAGATAAAATTCCCCCTAAGCTAGACATGTGCAACAATACTCCCTTCCTAAAAAAAAAAACATTGTCCTCAAGGTGGATAAAAGAGAACTGTTGTTGGATCATCGTTACACAATGAGAACCTGTAATGTTTGTTTCTCACTACAATACCCCATAAGTCCTTTTCTTCCTCTCTCTTAATCTTTGTCTCTATAAGAAGCATGAATTTGACCCCTGAACGGGCCCCCATTTTCTTCTCCTTCGACGCTTCTGTCTGAAATTACATTATCTCGGGCCTTTGTGTCAAGGTTGTTGGGGTACTCTTGTATAGTTCTCCCATTGTGCTGCTTCTGTTAACCTTCTCCATTTGATTCTTGTACTCCATTATTTGGGCTAACTCCATCGTCTCCTTCAATTCCCGTGGTCTCAACTGTCAGAGTGCTGCAAGTATATTGGGCTTTAGACTTTTCATGAAGTTCTCCTTAAACATTGCTTAAAAAATTCCTCTTTATTGTTCTGACAGTTTCTCGAATTTTTCTCTATACTCCATGACAGTCCCTTCCCGAGTCAATGCAAAGATTTGCTCATGTATGTATTCTTCTTGAATGACTTCGAAACGTTCCAATAAGCAATTCTTAAAGTCTTCCCACAAGTGAATCAGCTATCATGCCTCCCTCCATTGAAATAATGCTAAGGCTTTCCCCTCAAAATATAACCATGCCATCGTGAGCTTTCCTCTCCATTCAGCCCATTCGCTGCAAAATATCATTCCATCTGTTACACCCACCCATGTGTCTTCCCCCTCGAAGATCCCCATCTTTAACTACTTAAATCTAGCATTTCTACCCCCACTTTCTCCGTATTTGGTTTTTCCTCCCATGTATCTAGGGTAAAACTCCCTCGTTTGATCACAATCATATTCTATCCTAACTTCTTTCTTTCCTTCTTCGAGCCCCTCCATATCCCTTGCATGACTCCATGTTCTGGCCCAACCTCCTCCATCTAAAATCTTATCAGAGCCCCAGGAGGGATTTATTGATAGTTGATGCTTTCCTCCTATTGTTGCTCTTGTTCAATCTCTTTTCTTTTCAATTGAGCCAAGGATTCTTTGGTCAGCTCTTGGTTAAGGCTTACAAATTTAACAGTCGATGAGGTCTTAGATTGCATCTTAATAAACCTCCTCATCATTTCCTCCAAGTGCTTGAATCGACTGTCAATGGAGGCAAACCTTTTGTTTCTGGTTGAGAATTTTTCCTTTATCCCAAATTTTAGTAGCTTTAAACCTTTTGTTTCTGGTTGAGAATTTTTCCTTTATCTCAAATTTTAGTAGCTTTACTTCTTCTTCCAATCTCTCTTCCAAAGCATCCACTTTCCTTGTTGCTCTCACTTATTATGTTTAAATTTTGTCGATAAATTCTTAGGTGATTTGATTTGCTTTTGTAACAATTCGACCGTGTTGCTGACGTCAATTCGAATATCGTTTGTATGGTGAAATCCAGTAGCTTCGTACAACGAAATCGCGTTTGTATTACAATTTTAGAGATCGTGTATGTTGAAATCGCTCGTATTCTGTAAGTCCCAACTGGTTAGAATCACGATTGTATCATGCGGTCGCGGACGGCGTTGCACGCCACCATCTCATCGTTCGCTTCCTCGATCACCCAAATTCACGACTACTTCACCATTTAAGTCATGAAAGCGTCGCCTTTACGCTGCGATTCCATTGGCTGCTTCCCTATTAGTGCAAATCGCGACTATATCATGAGCTTCGGTTATAAAGGCACCTTTACACTGCTTCCCAGCTAGTGCGAATTGTGATTGTATTGCGGGTTGCATTCACGAAGGACGTTGTAGGCCTTAATCCCGATCTGTAAACCTGTATGCTATGATTCCAATGCTGTTTTCTAGAATTGAATGTTCTGACACCACTTTGATATGATCCAGAATAGATTTATCACAGAGATCAAAACAAACATATTTTATTTCACGAATACCAGGTCAAAGCATTACAACACGAATACATAAAGATAAACAACCACAATTCGAGAAGTAGACAATCTCTCCCAAACCCTACAATTCGAGGGGTAGTAAATCTTTCTGAAAGCCCAGCCCTAACACTCAAGTATAATCTCATGCATAAACCTAACCCTAAACATTTATACTAAACGATAATAAATAATAAAATACTAAATTGATCTTAGGTTATTAAAGGACAAAATTGCCCTTACGCTAGGTTAGCGTAACGATTGCATTAATCAAAAGCAAAGCGGTACAAACGATAAAACAAAAAAAAATGTAAAAGAAGAGGATGAACCTCTTGTAAATGTACTCAAACAAAGACATGAAAAGCTGTTGTACATGAGCTCAAATAAAAATTAACAAAATAACTTGATCTGCTTTGCTCACTTTGTAAGGCTTGCTCCGAGAATGGCTCGTCAACAACCACATGGTTTCCCATGAACATTGCTACTGAAATTATAGCCTTAATTTTAGAGCCCATAAAACAACCAGAGGGGAGTTCAAAGATATCCCCTCTGGTATAACACAAGCTCAAGGGCTGGATAGTGTCTTACTGCTCTCGCATTGAGTTCAAAGATATCCACATCAAGGTCCTAAAGCTAGTAACAACTGTAGCAATGGGGTATCTCCTTTTGAAGCCTGCTTGTAACATCCAATTCCACAAAGACTTGACATAGAGGGCCTAGTAAATAATGCTGTTGCAATATCCACCCGTAATTTCTTTCTAAAAATGGAAGCTAAATATAATAAGACAGATTTTCTTGAAATAGTGCAGATGAAATCGTGGGATTGATATCCAATCATAAATGATTGGAGGCTTCGTAATGAAATCTAAATAAGGAGATTCTTTTAACATGCACAATGGGAGACCACTAATATTGTATGAGCATTGTGAGAAATTTTTTTTTGTAATCTGCTTCTAATAAAAGCTTTATGATGGCACTTCTAGGTTCAATAAGCTCAATGGATTAGTCACCAATAATTTGTAAATCAACAAAAAATTTGTGATTTACCTCCTCGCTAGGCTTTGATAAAAATTTTCCAGTAAGTGAAAGGGTGAGAGGTTTAGCAAACACATTTTTTGATAAAAAAGTAAAGAACAGATTTGCCTTGAAAAGAGGACTTTATGTTGATGGTTTGTTGATATTTGTTGAAAGAAAATGGAGGATTATTTAGTGGAGAGAGAATTTTATTTTCGTTGGATTCAAACTGCAAATCACATACACAAAGAAGTGTGGAGGTTGAGATGAAGGGAGCAAAATCACCAAATATGTTAAAAGTGAAGCCTCAAAGATATTAGGGGTCATATGGGTCCTTGGTGGCGATCTCACAGGGGTGTCAACCAATGTTCTTTGAGAAGTCAATGTAGGAGAATGTGTAATATCAAACGGCTTTGATGGGAATCCAAGAGGCATCAGTGCAGCTCGAATCTCTTCAACCTTCCTGCCTCTTTTCGCTTCCAGTGTTTATTCGTTTGCCGTTATTCGTTTGCTACCAATGCTTAATAAAAGAATCTAACCTCAGAGCCAGAAAAAAGTAGAAAACCGAACTCTGAGCTCCGCTCCGGTGTGCTCCACAGTGACTTCAAGAGAAAGAAGAGAAATCTCTCAAGCAGCTCAAATCAATTTTGAGGTTCTGCTTGAAAGGATTATGGAATGCAACAAAAGCCTTAAAAGGGGGCAATAAAAGTGATTGAAACAGCCACGAACCTGAGAGGCTCCGAGGAAAAGGTAGAAAACTGAACTCTGAGCTCTGCTCCGGTGTGCTCCACAGTGACTTCAAGAGAAAGAAGAGAAATATCTCAAGCAACTCAAATCAATTTTGAGGTTCTTCTTGAAAGGATTATGGAATGCAACAAAAGCCTTAAAAGGGGGCAATAAAAGTGATTGAAACAACCACGAACCTGAGAGGAGTAAAATTCTATCAAAAGTGAGAGAGAAGAATAGTGCAGTGCGAAGGGGGCTTTCATGTTACCTAGGAGATAAAAAATGGACAAAATGTATGTGCTGACGTCAAGAATAACCCACACGATAGGTTCACCCAAAAACCCCCAGATAGTTAGTTCATGTGAGACAACTGAGAAGTGGAGTACCCAGGATAAACCATCGTTATGCCAACGGATGATCACACTACTTGCACGAAGTCAGTCACACGGCTATAGCAAGACAATGAATAGAGGATCTCATGGAGACAATCGTATGCATGAAGACAATCTTATCCTAGTTGATTTTAGAAGAAACTTAAACATATCTTTTTATTAAATCAAAATCATCCCCTAAAACTTTCGATGATTTGCATACATGCTATTCAATTCTTATATCTTTAAATATGTAACCCACCCCTAAACTTCAATTTTTACATACATGCAACTTTACATATGCTTGCAAAGGTGTATATTATATTTTAAAAGTAAAAATGGTGATATCTTTGATGTGATATGAAGGTTTTGGGTGGTATGAATGCAAAATGTAAAAGTTAGGTGTTGGATATGCAAATACATAGGAATTGGTGATATGTATGCAGATGCTCCTATATTTTTTTAATTCATTTGATAGAAAATCAATTGATCTTAAAATTGCATGCATCGTGTATGTCTTTAGTTTTAAATCCTACTGAAAAAGATTAATAAAAATGTCTCGTGGTCTTCTCATTAGGTCACATTACTCGTTTTCATTTATAGCGTGCTTGTGAATTGAGTTTTAGCAGAATTACCTGTTAAAGCCATGGAATGATCAGACTGCATTTAGTAGTTGACTATAAGTTCTTTTTTATATCTATGTATTTCCCCTCAAATCTACTGGTTATTTATCATGTATATTTTGATTAATCTATGTATCAAAATTTAGGTCTTTTGGCTTTACAGTTCCATAAAGGTTTCTATTAAGGCATTTTTTTAATCCAATGAATGATCCACTGATATGCTAAATGTATGAGATCATGCACGCCACTAGTTTTCATAATGCTGAAGAGTGGTTCTTGATCTTATTTTGAATTTCATACGTAGAAATTAAAATGGAAGATACTTCTCTTCTGGCAAGCCAAAAACTTCTCATATGCTCTACTCAGTTTCTATAGAAGAATGCAAGTAAGAGTCTGTAAATGTTTGATGTGGAATACTAGGATTACTTGGCTGAACACATTCTAATAGTTGAGTTGGATTCTAATTGCAAGGCTTTTCAAAATGCTTCTTATGGGCCTTTTTTTACCAGCAAAGTCTAGCTTCTAGCAATCAAAGCCAATTCAATACTTTTATTTCTCTTTTGTATTCAATATGATTAGGATTTGGAAATTTGGAGAAAATGCTTATTCCCGTGGCCCACCAACCGGTTTAAACCATGAACTGGTCCTCTGGCCAAGTTTGGTCCAGGTTGAAAATCAAGTTCACACAAACAGGCCATAACTGATGGTGAACCGATGGATTAGTTTGTTATTGATGAATTGGCTAATGTTGATCAATTTTTTACTTGTAGAATCCCTCCTCACAAACTTGCTTATTCCATTTTCTAATATTTATTGCTGTTTTTTTTTAATCTTTGTAATTTAAGTTTCCTGTTATGCTTCACAATTTTCTTATGTCATGCTAGGTTAATGATAATGAAAGAAGTTCTTTAGCTACAGACCAAAGTTATGAGATGACAGAGGAGATGTTGTACGAGATGGATTACAATGCTGATCGTGAATGGTATCTAGTTCAGTTTAATAAGGAATTTATTTTCTTATCCTGTCATCTTTTGTTTTTTATGGCCTTATATTTCATTTCTATAATATGAGTCATTTGTATCATTTCTAACTATAGCCAAGGGGTTTGAAGTCTTAATTTTTAAGATGGATGTACGACCTGTAACAGCTCATTACATCAGAATTTAATTTTTCCTTCAGCAATTTTAATTTAGAAATCATGTAGATGCTGTGCCTGTTCTCAATATTTCATTCTGTGATTGTTTTATGATCCTTATCATGCTTCCAAATTGACCAATATATATATATATATCTGTGTGTGTGTGTATGTGTGTACAGATCTATCATATGATGTGCACACCCGGTGACATGTTGGATGACCGCTTCAGCTTAAGTCCCCCTTGTCTCAGTTTCAAATCTATCTAGGTCGAATTAGCACATATGGGGTGGACAGACACATGTCACCGTTCATCTTTTCACTATATATTATCTCAAATTTTAGT